CGGTCTTGACCAAGTTTGGCTGGGAACACTTCGTATCGGCGTTGCAGTCGCTGCTCCGTCGCTGGAGTCCGACGCACCTCGAACACGCCTTTCAGCTCGTCGCGAGTCTCGCCGGCGTAGACCCGACGCCGGTCTGCTCCCGGCTCGCCGCGCCCTTTCTCGGCGAGCTCGTACGCGCTAGCTACGACGTCTTGCACCCGCAGCTCGTACTGCGCCTGCGCACGCCCATCACGGCGTACGCGGAGGCGACGTCGCTTCTGACGCGGAGCCTCCTACTGGAGCAGTACGTTGACGTCACGAGGTTCGAGGTCGTGGCAGGGACATGGCTCTACGACCGACTACCGACGGCTCTGCTGCTTGAGATCGCTGCATTTGGCGCGACCGACGTGTGCAAAATTGCGACTCTGGTGGCACGGCACCCGGCGTCGTTTCCGCCGATCGCCGTCGTGACGCCGGCCGTGTGGGCCGCGCGCAAGGTCAACGTCAACCTCAACGTCAACCTCAATCTCGGGTCGCTCGTGCCCGATGTAGCACGCATTGGACCCCCCGCAGCGTTCGACAACGCCGCATGGGGCAGCGTTCTGCTTGTGGACGTCATGACGGCTACGCTTTTGGCAGCGAAATGCGACGCGATCGGATGGAGCCCGGCCTTTCTCGAGGCGTGCTACGTCCACGCCGGCCTTGCGCTGCTTCCCGCCCTTGTCGCTGTGATATCGATGCATCCATCACTGGGCGCAACGACCAAGGTTGTTGCGATCTTCCAGCGCGCGCCCGAGGTCCTTCGCCGCACGACGCCGCCCGACACCATCGGCCATCTCGCTCGGTTCTACGCGCAGCATGGGCGACCGAATGTCACGCCACAGCGTCCACCCTCGATTAGCGACGTCCAGCTGCATCTGCTGCTGACGGTCCTCGAAGGAATGGCGTCAACCGGTCAGATCGACGCGCTGGTGACTAGTGTCCTGCATGAGCTCGACGGGATGTCGTGGGCGCTTCACGCGTACCGCGCTGTGATTTACCGCCTCTTGGTATCGTTTCCGCATCTTCTGACACCGCATGCCCGGCTTCGGCTTGTCGACGCGTGCTTGCAAAGCCACGAGGCTGCGCTCCAAGTACCGAGACGGGGGCTGGCCATGGACGACCTCTACGTGGCGTGCGACTGCGTAGCGTGTACAAGGCTGCACCGTGAGCTCCTGGCGTCCGACATGCGCTGCCTGCTCAGCATGTCGGGACCTGTCCCGCGCTGCCTCCGCCAGCTCGTCCATGACCACAACGACCGTCTGCTTCTCGAGCACGAGTGTGCGACCAGCTATCGCGTCCGCAAGACGCTGCTGAGCGTTGTGCGAACGGCCAATGGACCTGACGGCGACCTGCGCCGAGTGACCGCGCTCCAAGAACTGAAGACCACGACGCTGCAACCACCGGCAAAGCGACGCTGGCTCTGGTTCTTCTAGCTCGACGCCTGGCTGCACCGTTGGTGATCCAAAGATTTTGTTTGTTTGACTAGTGACCAAGTAGTAAGTCATCAAGTTGCTGTTAGCTCATGTTTCAGAACAACATCGGTAGACATCGAGCTAAAAAGGGCGAAGCACAGCGAGGCGACCAGGAATGCATTGTGGCTCGTCTGCCATAGCGACAACGCATCAGGGGCACCCCTGCATCGCATGCTCCATCGTTGCAACTTGCCGTGGTCGATGAAATGTTTTTGAATTGAGTCTGCAACTCTTCTACTGGCCACGATCGAGTCACACGGTTGTAAGTAGGTGTAGGGTAAGTATGATCGCTTCAGGAATCGATGCAACGCTCATGCTCATGGCTCTGAGACATCAACTAAGTGCACCACACCTCTCAACTGAAATGACGACGCACCGTTGTGTTCGTCCAAGGATGCAGCGGCGTGGCACGCCAACAAGTGATACGACTACGTCGAGAACTATCCTTGCATTTTCAAAGATCTTATAAGAGCCATCGATAATATCATAACTGCGCATGCCTGCCACGTTGCCAACTACTGCCTTGCTACTGGGTATTCTGCGTTTTTTCAGCCGTTCCGCAAGCGAAACCAACCGACGAGTGACCGCGTCCTCAGAGGCGCGGCCGTCGGTCATCCAGGCCGCGGCAGAAGGAGGCCTCGTCAGTCGACGCCTTCGCCTGCTGCGAGCCGCGCCATCAGACGAAGCGACGCTGAGCGATGAGGAACTCGTCGCCACGCTGTACAAGACGACGTATCCGAGGAAAACGACGATATGCTCCAGCCAGACAACAACAAAAACAACGGTCAGGGGGACCACAACCAACATCAGATCCAATACAGAACCAACATGAGCACAGAGACACAGAGCACAGAGAAAAGAGCACAGAGCACAGAGCACAAA